TGTGATATGATTGATGAATGTTTGTGTGGATGTGATTGATTACCCTTTTGTGATGACAAAAAGGGGGAGAGGACTGGATTGGATTGATTGATGATTTAATTGAAATTGAATTGGCTATTGGATTGAATTGGTAAAATGTTGGCTGCTTAATTGTTATGTTTTTGGATAATTGATTAATTCGGTTGGGTAGCCAAGTGAGGGGGAGTTTTTCAAAATTTTTTTTTGCTCTATGATCCACTAAGTAAGGGGGAGTTGTTGTCTATTAAGAAATGGGGAGTTATTGCAATCATCAAATCTCATTTCAAATCATTGTTTTGTCATCATCAAAAAAGGGGAGAATATTATTCTTGGTTTTGATGATCACAAAGTACGTTGAAATGTTTATCTAACTTTCTTCAAATATAAGTGTTTTTGCCTATCAAAGAATCAGGTACGAATATGTCAAGAAATGAAAATCAACCAAAAGAAGAAGCAAAAACAGGACACTCATGTCGGACGTCCGAAAGGAATCTGTTGGACGTTCGAAAGGATAAAGAACATCAAGAAGGAAGCTCTGTCGGACGCTCATAAGGAAGCATTGGACGTCCGGAAGGATCTGACGCATGCTTCGGACGCACATCAACCGCGTCGGACGTCCGAAAAATTCCAAGATGACTTGCCAACTCTCTGCCAGCGATCGGACGCTGATGCTGTCGGACGATAAAAACGCATCAGACGTCTGAACTACAATTTGGCGGTTTTCGGACGATAGGCTCGGACGATGATTTGGTCGTCGGACGTCTGACAGCCCCAACGGCTAGCTGACTCTTCATCTGCCTTCTATCTGTTGGAAGCATTGATGAAGCCCATTTTTGGTCCCCTTTAAAAATAAACTGTTCTGAACGAAGAGAGGACTTTTGCACACTTTGTTTACAAGATCTCAAGAGATATTTTTGCGAGAAAATAGTCTCCAAAACTAAATTTGTTCTCCAAGTGGTGTGAATTTCTTGTGAGCATTTCTCTTGTGGTTGAAAGTTTCATTAGTGTACCTTTGTTGAGGGTTATCTGAGTGATTGTAAAACTTCTTAGCTTGACTAAGTAGGGCTTAGGGCAAGGAGGAAGTGCTCCCTCCATTGTACATCTAGTTGATCATCTTTCATCAAAGAGAAGTTGCTCAACCTAGTGATTAGTCTTCAAGTTTGAGGAAAGCTTGGTAGACAATCGGTTTGATATTCTATATTATTCTTTTTGTTTAATAAAATTCTCATTGCTTATCTATATTTGTTTTTCTAATCAACATTGCTCTCTTCTTCTAATCTACTTGATTGATCATTACTAGAAAAGAAGGTAAATTTTTATTAAAGAAAAAGTGCATAAATTTGATTAAGATTTTAATCAACCTAATTCACCCCCCTCTTAGATTGTCTTTGGGCCTTACATATGTATAAAGTAAATATTTTAGTTTTATTCAAAATTTTCAATGCTAAAATAAATTAAAAATTTATTAAACCTTTGAATTGGGTTGAACCGATTGAACCGCAAATCGAAAGATTTTCTGGTTTACTCTTTGATTCTAATTTAAAAACATTGCTCTTGAGATGTCTATTTAAACACTCACTAAACAATTGAACTCATTTATGTACTAACTTTTCTTGAGTTGGTTTACAACTAAAGAAATAAAACATATTTATAGTAGTAAGTACCCAACAATTAGCTACAATTTTCCCTCTTCCTCTTGATGCTTAATTTGGTAGCCGCAAAAACTCTTTGAATCCGTTTGGTTCACAGACCGGATGAGATAGGATGACTCATTTTCAGATTATTAATCCTGGGTTCAGTCATCCTTGGATAAATAATCCAAATTATCTAATGTTTGGTTGGTTCTAGATTGGATAGAATATGTTGGAAAATAATCCTATCATGTATTTGGTTAGAGATTGAATGAGGTAAGATTATTATTTTAATGACCAAAGCACCCCCTTAATCTGTAGATTATTTTTTAATACAATAATTTAATATTTTATAAAATATTAATAAAATAAATTTAATATTTTTTAATAAAATAATTTAATAAAAATTTAATGTTCGTAAATTCTATTAAAATAAAGTACTTTGAAACTTTAAAATTATAAAGTAAATCAAGGTTTTTGATATGTAAAAATTTGCATTCGCTCAAACTCAGCAAGTCCTTAAAAATAGATTTTGACCAAGTTTTTGAATCTAAATTTAAAATCCAATTAAATAATTAGCCAAGTTTTGGCTAACTTAGGATTAAATTGTTTAAAAACTAATCCACTTAAGTCCCTTAAATGATCCAAACTCAAGCTAATGTAGAAGATTTTTCTTTGGACCAAGCTTGAACTTATTGAAGTTCTCATTCACAAAGTCCAATTGATAAAATTATGTATTTATATAGAATTTGGTTTAGAAAATAAGTTTAGTAAGGGTAAGGGCAATATAGTCCTTCTATTATGATGTTAGTATGGCAAATTAGTCAAAAAATTTAAATTAATTAATAGGGGTAAATTAGTCAAAATTTTTAAATTAATGAATATGAGCAAATTAGTCAAAAAAATTTAATATAATTAGTAGGGGCTAATTAGTCCATTTATCATAATATTATTATGTGAGAGTATGGTTATATAATAGTTAGTATGAATTTGAATCATTCATAAGGGCAAATTAGTCCAAATATTATTATATTGATAATAGGGACAAATTAGTCAAAAAAAATTCAAAATTAGTTAATAGGGTCAAATTAATCCATTCATATTATATTATCGTGTGCGAGTGGGAATATAATTATAAGATTATAAATTTATATTTTTTATAAGGATAAATTAGTCTAAAATTTTAGGGTAAAGTACATAAAACCCCTCTGTGGTTGAGGAAATTGACACGAAACCTCCTCATTATTTAGAAACTCCCATTTAACCCCTCCTGTGGTTTGGACTTGTTTGGATTTTACCTGCTAACCGGCTAGGGAGCTAGCGAGTGATATTTACGCGACTTAATGGTAACTTGTGTCTAGCAGAAACTCATTTCATTCCAATTTTGTCCTCCATGTCTCTTCCAAGCTTGCACCCACCATAGTTGTAGATCTGCAAATGAAAAATTTCGACAGAGAGATGCAAAACGAAGACCCAAAAACGTAAAGAGCTCAACGCAACTTTGGATGGATCAAGAAAAGCTTTAGAGGGGCTAAATCAGCTATCATTTCAAGGAAGAACCCAAAAATGTCAAACTCCCAAAATTTTGGCGGTGGATCGAGAGACCTAAGGTACCAAAATCGGCGTTGTTTCTGCAACAATAAAGCAAAGATTAAGGTAGTAGAATTTGAAAAAGGTATGTTGTATTATGTATGTGAAACTGGTGCTTGTTCATTTTGGGCATGGTGCAACCCAATTAGTAGAGAGGGAGGCACTAATGAATCATCCTACCAAAGTCCATACGTGGAAGGGGTTTCATCAATTCGACCTGCAACCGCAGAAAGATTTATCATCTCTGGGCAAGGAATAGAAACTAATAACTATAACATTATTATGGGATTACAATCGAAGATTCACAATGTCGAAGCAACGATGGGGCTGATGAAGATGATGATGATGCTGACTGTACTTGTATCTTTTTTGTCACTGGTCGTTATATGTATGAGATGAATTTTGGGCAAAAAGTATAATGTTGGGCTGTTTGGCCGTGCAATAGAATATGGAGTTGGGAAATTGTAGTGAAGTTGTTTCAATTTGGAGTTGATTTTCATGTTTGAATTATAAATGAGCAACTGAAGCTGCTTTTGTTCAAGACATTGAAAAAGCCTGCTCTGGTGTGGGACATATACAGAAAAACCTGAGATACCCAATTAAATGCAATGAAGTTGTTATATTAAGTCATCAGATGCAAAGATATAACCAGCAATATTGATCTCCATAAACACTTGTCAGATTTAGTCATTTTCAGCAAAGATATGGCCAGTGATATTGCCATCCATATTACCACAGCCAAACATGATAAATAAGCGAAGACGTGCCATCCATAAACACAAAAATCAACTCATTACTACAACCATACCATAATGGTATCCTACCATAACATGGTCAAAAGGTTCACCAGCATAGCTATACAGTCACAAATGCAACAGTCAATCAAAACATAGCCAATTTATCTGAGTACAATACCACAATGGCATCAATCAACCAAACGATAGCCACAGTCAACGAAATCATTCACACAAAAACCATAATACAATATCCACGAGAGCAACAGTCAACCAAAAAATAACCAAAAATCTGAGTACAATGAAAAATACTGCAACATCCATCCATACCATAATGGCATTAGTACATTCAACCAATAAAATGACATATTCTACTTGGCATAAGCAGTATTGTTAATCAACAAAATCAGGAAAACAGCTTTTCATTTTCTTGGTCTCTTGGAGCCACAATGTCACAACCTTGACATCCTTGAAGTTGCAGCAGGTTGCTTTCTCTTTGAGAATATGCTTTGCTGGCTTTCTTGGTTGGTACCACCTATAGGCTAATTTGGCTCCTACACGTACCTCGTCATGGTTAGTATATATGTAAGTATATTCCAGCATCCAAAAATGTTTGGCCAGTACTCTCTAGTACCTGTGAAAGTGTAGTAGCAGTACTTGAGACGCTTGCTGAGCAGCAGAAGCTACGGATGTTGCATTTGAAGCTGTTTGACCAACTTTAGGTGCCTACAGTCCAAATCAAAATGAATTAGTATATAAATAGCAACAAAACACACTAAACCATATTACAGTAGAGTTTAAAATGTTACATTACTTTGTAAAGTTTAGACTTAGGGTCAATCGCTGATTTGCAAGTACGTATGTTATGTCCAGTTTTCAAACATTTCCGACAGTAAACTGCAAGTCCTTTCCTACTTGCTTTCTGCTGATTTGTAGGCTCTTCTGGACCCTTCTTTCTCTATTTTTTTAGCCTACCAGGCTGTTTTTTCACCAATGGTGGGTTCAGATATTGCATCTTGCTATCTACCTAGAACTGCTTCGAAGGAACGGGACCAATTGTGAAGTTGTAGGCCCTTAAATATGCTTCCCTATGGTAACAAGCATCAACATATTCCTTGAATTTCAGCTTTCTGCTCTGAATGCAGGCAACTGCATGCATGCAGGGAATGCCACTAAGCTGAAAATGACCACAGGTACAAGTTTTCAACTCCAAATTGACAACATTTGTCCTTCCATAGCCATCAACTTCCAAATTTCCATTTCCTCTATAAACCGCAACACAATTTCTTGCCTTTATCTTAAGTTTCTCCAACTTCTCATAAATGTTTGGACATAAAGTTCCACCATGTTTCAGCATGCCCTCTCGTTTGGTTACCAACCTTTGCATTAATCTCCTCCGAATCCACTCCAGCATTGTTATTATTGGCTCCCCTCTAGCTTTTAGAATGTAATTATTCCATGACTCACTCATGTTGTTAATGCAAGTGCCACTCCTACAAGCTGTACTAAAATGAGCTCTAGACCATAATTTTGGAGGCAACCATTTGAACCATCCCGCAGCTGTTAGCTTGTCACCTTCTTGTGGGTCAGCCCTCTCAAGATTTGAAAGGGCAGTTTCATGCTCCGGCATGCTTGCTGCTGCAGCTACCTCCCAAAACAGATCTCTAAGGTCTTGATCCTTGAATCTTTGTTTGAAGTTCTTGAACATATGTTTCAAACAGAATCTGTGCTCTGATTCAGGAAATAATTCTTCAATTGCACGGACAAGACCCTTTTGCCTATCTAAGATGAAAGTGTAAGCCACTCCTTTGTTTCCTCTTCCAATTTGGCTGATTAATTCCCGCAAAAACCAACTCCAACTGTCGTAATTCTCAACCTCAACAACAGCAAAGGAAATATGGAACATATTTTCATTGGCATCCCTACCCAAGGCTGTAAGTAGCTGACCTCCAAAGGGACTCTTGAGAAAGCAGCCATCTAGACCTATGATAGGTCTACATCCTTGTAGGAAACCATTTTTCAACGCACCTAAACCATAATATATCCTCTGAAATGTAGCCCTTTCCTCAATATTTCGCCTATCAATTTGCAATGAAATATGACTACCAGGATTGGAATTTTTTACAGTAGCTACATAATCCCAAAGTCTGTGGTATTGCTCCATGTCATTGCCCCTGAGTGCCTCTAATGCTTTTTGCTTTGTCCTGGTAGCTTTTTTTTTTGACTAATGTCTAGCATGAACAATCTTCTTGTCTCATTCACCATGCCAGGAATACTACACCCAGGGTCATCTCTCACTTTGGCTTGAAATTTATGACTCAGATATGTTGAGGTGGCATGTCGATTGCTGTAATCCCTGCCACAATGGTGATCTCCCTTAAGAGTCTTAATCATAAATGTCTTTGATCTCTGGATTCTGCTTGCATGAATCCTCCAACTACACCCCTTTGTATATTTAGCTGTGATTCGAGACCTCTCATTTCTGGTGTACTTGTGCTCATATCCCTCCCTAATACCCCATTCCACTAAAACCTCTCTAAACTTATGAAAGCTGCTAAATTTCTGGCCAACCTTTAGTTCAAAGATCTCTTTTCTAAACTCTTCATCCGCATTGAAGTAGCTGTAGACAGGGGTGCTTTCATCATCAGAACCTATTCCTCAGTCAAACAGGTTTTCATCATCATCTACTGCCTCATTCCAATCTTGTTCTTGCTGATTTTGTTGATGTTGTTGATGTTCATCTAAATCAGCTTCTGGGTTTTCAGTTGGTTGCTGATTTTCATGTTGTTTTTAGTGCTGTTCATATAAATCAACTTTGTTTGATGCTTTTGCTTGCTGATTTTCTTGTTGCTGCTTAGAAGGAATACCAACCGAATTTGCAGATCCAATATTTATAGACGCCTATGTTGATCCTTGACCATGTAAACCTGCAAATATATCATCATCTTCAGGCAGTTCTACTGCTTCTCTTAGCAAGTCAGGAAAATTTGAGTAATCCAGTATGATTTCATCTTCTTCTCCGCCTTCATGAATTGGTCTTTCTCCATAACAATCAGTCTGCTCTGATGTTGGATCTCTCTCTGTCTGTGTTGTTTCTTCTGCTGATTTCCTTGTATGAGACTACCGAAACTCTGAGGATGTATCACCTTCTTTTTTGTCTTTAAATAACCGCTTGACTGATTTCCTTGCGCTTAACTTTACTCTTTGTGACTTGACTTTTTTATCATTTCTTGCCTTCTTTCTCTTGGACTTGTCACCAGCATCATGTATCTTCTCTTTATGTGGTCCCATAACAGCTGGATTTGACTCCATTTGTGATGACTTTTCTTCGCAGACGTCATTTGCTTTGTTGTTAATGTCTGGAATGTCATTATTGTCCTCACTCCCAATTACTTCCTTGACCATGTCATCCTTGCCTTTAACAGTTGAGGACGAACTAATCCCAGCCTGCCAGGCATCATGATATGGAAGTGCAAGTATGTCATCACCAGTCACTCTCTTGTATAGTAATTTTCCTTCCGGGGATACAACTTCAATGGGATCAGACCCCCTCTCAGCATATATATGCATTTCTTTAAGCCCCTCATAATATGTTGTCAATAATTTGATGTCCACATCATCATTGATGCTAACCACACCAACATCAAGGTCATGAAAGGGAATAGAGTACTAGAAATTCATATTTGTAACGCCGTGCTCAATGGTTTGGTACATTTTTTGAAACTGAAATATGGATAATTCATCAAGGTCGAAATCACAAAATAGCCTCACATGTTGGCTAGTATATCTAATTCTCAGTTTTCATTTGAAATATCCACCATAATGCAAGTGTATGTCTACGGTCTGCCACGAATTATCTCTCATTTTTATGCACCTAACCCAAAGTAACCGAGATTATTTTACTAATTTCGTTTTCAAGTGTATCAAAAAACAGAGATTCATTTACTCATTTGCTTTTCAAATGTATTAAAAAGGACATGCAATATTTCATACACTCAGTTTCAAAAACATAAACAATGAACAACAACACACTTATCTAGAAGGATGAAAAACATAATCAAGACCAGTATGGACCAATGAAAATTCGATTACTCCACAAAAACTCATATTTTTTTGCAGTATATTGCAATTTTTTAAATAACTGCACCCAAACATTGTCAGAAAAGCTTCTGACTAAGCCAAATCTTGACATTTTGCATATTGTTATAAAAAAAGCAAAAAAATTCCCACAAACATTGTCAGAAGACTGTCGCAAAAGCTTCTGACCAAGCCGAAACTCACATTTTGCAATATTTACCAAATTTTAAAAACAAATTCCCACAAACATTGTCGGAGACAATTCTAACTAAGCCAAACATGGTGGTTCCTTTACCAAGTTTCAAAATATCCCCAACAATTTAGTACCAAAACACCTGTCATCAAACAAATCAACTCGTCTAATGCATAAGGTTCATATATGTATTTTACCTGGTTCAGATATGCTCAATGCATTGCGAGTCTCGACCGATCTACACATAAATGCCGATCCATCTGCACTGAAGCACCGACCGATGTTCTTGGCTGTAGGTTTCCCGATCCGCAGCACACAAACACATTCTTTTTGGAATTAGGTTTAGGGTTTCTCTCTCTGAACATGAAATGTATCTCAAGCCCGACAGATCTTCACCATAACTCGCACCGCTCAGCAATACAGTTACCTTCTTCTTCGTTATAGGTTTAGAATTTCTCTCTCAGTTTCTTTCATCCGCTCCAGATTGACTCATTGCATATGTAACTTTTCACATATTATATATGAGGGTATTTTTGGTATTTCATATTATTACCGGCTCCCCAGCCGGTTAGCAGGTAAAATCCAAACAAGGCCAAAGCACAGGGGGTTAAGTGGGAGTTTCTAAATAATGAGGAGGTTTCGTGTCAATTTCCTTAACCACAGGGGGGTTTTATGTACTTTACCCAAAATTTTATTATCCTATGTGTTAATCATCTCAAAATGACTAATACCACCTCCCACGTGAGATTATTTTATCCCATGAATAGGAGATTAATTTGATTAGATAGAATGTGTCATTCTATATATAAAATGCAATCAAATATGAAATGAGATGACACGGGATTAGATTAATGAACCAAAGAGACACTTCATGTTTTAGTCGCCAACATTGACATCACAAAACTCTTCTATGCCACAAATCTTGACATTTCGTAAAGCTTTTTCTTAGCTTGCTCCGTTTGGATTAACTATTTTTGGGTGTATTTTTGAAATATTTTACTCTAGTAGTGTATATGAAAAACTTTTATTACAAATATTTTTTAAAATATTTGATATATTGTATAGATGAGATGTTTTTTGAATTATTTTTATTTGTATATTATTGTAACATTATATTTGAAAATTTTGTTTTTAAAAAATAGTCCAATCCAAACGACACGCACCTATAGACCGAGCAATGTGAAAAGTGCCACGTAATTATGGCAAATAAAAAGTCTAGAAGTTGGCAAGTATGGCCTAATCTTCTAACTCAACCGTCCCTTAATTACGCGAAGCTGCCTTAACCTTACTCAGCTTAACACCACCGCACCAGACCGCCACCAACCTTCCTCAGCTTACCACCACCACACCAGCCGAAGTTTAATTGGCACTGTCTCAGCTACAAACACTTAGACCCAAAAGTGGCCCTATCATGCTCTGGAACTTCGACCCATCACCACCATCTAGCAATCCTTACGGTGGAGTGTCATGAAGCACAACTTAAGCTAAAGAAATGAGAAGGCATGGTTCCAGAAAAGAAGGCGTGGAATGAAGTGAAGAGGAGCTATGGAGGCGTGGAAGTGAAATCACGCTTTCAGTGGGGAAGCAGCTCAAGAACGTGATTATAACGGTGTAACAACTTCTTACATCAGCAAGACTCGTGTCACAACATGATTGTAGCAGTAGGAAGTTAGTTATTAGTCACTGGCTTTATATAGGAGATTTTGTATGTATTGGTAGCAGAGAATATCCAGAATTCAATGTATTGATTTGGGAGATTTCTCTCTCATTCTTTACTTTCCTTTCCTCAAGTTTTCTTGCTTTTCTGTTCATCTTCTTCACGGTAACCACCAATTCTGTATCTGAGCTTATTTCTTAATACAATCTTATTCACAATTCATTCAAGTTAGCTTTTACTTCTGTTATTATTCCACTGCTTCAACCTTAAGCTACTAGAGTTAGTTGCCCTCTGGTTCGATATCATTACATGGAGGAGTTATAGCATCTACCAAGAGGGATCCATAGCCATGTGGATTTTTTCTTTCAGGCACTCCTTTCTCCTTTTGAACCCCAGAGTCTTAGTTCTTTTTTCCTGATCTCTCTCCATCAAACCAATTGCCTGCACGCTTTCATTGTCCTCCATGTCTGCTTCACCTCCTTCAGTGTCCACCATGGTAGATATGTGGGAGTATTAATGTACAGAGAAAAGGAAAGCACTTGATTGTGAGTTCGTGAGGTTTTGCAGTTTCTTTCTCATCGATCGCCTTTCATTCTTGAGAATTGTTTCATCTCTAGATTGAGATCGATCCCTTCTGGTTTCCTTATTAATCTTCCTTTTATCAGATGGCCTCCAGTAGTATTACTTGCATTTCTTACGCCTTGGATGATTTGGAATTGCTGAAGGATGAGTATTCAGGTCGGTGGAACGTGGCCATGGTGGAAGACTGGCTAAGATGTCCGAGAACATTCTTTTGTGTGTGAGAGCGTGGGGCAAAGATGAGGTGCATTTAGCATCTGACGACAAAAAAAATGAGGTTGATAATCATCAAGTAAGTCTAGAGGCTCTGGTAGTACGGATTGAGAATACCATTCCTTGGAGGGCATTGGAGATTCGTGACATTTGTTGTAGTAATGGTATAGATCGATACTTTCAGGTTGCCCGTTTGGTCAATGATATAGCCGAAAAAGACATCATATCTTTTGGGCAGGAAATTTGCGAGTGGTACGTCTTTTTCTCGGATTGCTCATCAAAGCAGTTTAGTACTGATTTGCTTGTTAGAAAGGATGACACTATGGAATTCACGGATTCTCTTCTAGAGAATCTAGTGTACTTTCATAGCTTGAAATTAGATGAAGAGCAGTATGAAGCAGATCTCATCAAAGCCCTTGAAAAGCAGCTAAAGTTCTGGAAAAACTTCATCCGTTTTGTTACACAACTGGCGTTGAAGATGCACAATTGGGACCTTTATTGACTCACATTAAAGCCATGGCTATCGACGCAGCACGCGTCTTTTCTAGGCGCAAGTTTATGAAGGTAGATGAATTGCAAGACGACATGAACACAAGCATTTTGGAACTGTTGCTGAAGATTATTCGTGTAGAGCCCCATGTCCACAAGACTTATGTCCAGGCCCTGATTGCTTCAAAGTTATCAAGACAATCACTCGGAGACACAGACAAGCAAATATTGAGAGATTTCGTCGATTCTCTCGCATGTAATCTTGGGGAGACACTAAAGTCTGGTACGTTTCTTATTATTTCTTTAAAAATCAACTGCAAATGGTTTACTAGTGGCTAAATCCTTGAGAATCGATCATTTTCAAGGAGAAAGCCAAAGTGGTTTGATGAGAAAGTAAGAGATCCAATTGTACTCATGATCTATGATGCAGGACTTGTTATTCTATTTCTCTCTCTGAAAGCAATCAAAGACAGTATATTATCCAAGAATATAGATCTTGTTTCTTGTGGTCTGCGAAAAAAGATTAACCTTATGGAGACAATAGTTGCACAGAGATATCCAGAATCAGCATCATTCACCTTTCCTAGGACCAACAACTTGGGCTTTATTGATTCTCTTCTAGAAAAAATGAAGGATTTGGCAAATACTAAGGCCGGCTCGATTGCTTTCACGAATCATCCAATTCAAACATTCCAAGAAGAACTTGTTTGTTTACACTCTTTTCTGGGGGAAATTGTGGAGTTGCGCAATGAAGATGAGGAGCTCCAAGCAATTTGGGATCGTGTGGCAGAGGTGGCATACAGGGTAGAGTTTCTTATTGACTCCTTAATGGTTGGAGATGATCTAGATTCTTCTTCAATGTCGTTTCATTCCATTGTAGAAGAAATTAAGATCATAAAAGCTGAGTCCTTGCAGATTTGTGATATCAAAAAAATTCATGGCAAAGTTAAGGAAACAAGCAAGAGATTCAATCACATGCCAACACGGGAGAAAGCCATTAATCAATGAAGTGGTGGTGGGCTTTGAGTTTGAAGCTGCAGCAATAATCAATCGACTCACAAGAGGATCAGACCAAGTGCAAATTGTTTCCATTGTAGGTATGCCGGGACTAGGTAAGACAACTTTAGCTAGAAAAGTTTACAATGATCCTTCAGTGAAGTCCTATTTTCATGAGTGTGCTTGGTGTACAATTTCTCGAGTATATGACATGAAAAATCTGTTACTTCAAATTTTGACTTGTATTCACTCCAAGCTTCCTGACTATTTTGAGAGATGAGTGAAGAAGATCTGGCTCATCAAGTCAAACGAAGTTTGCTAAGGAAAAGATATCTCATTGTTTTGGATGATGTATGGGATATTGAAGCATGGAACAGATTGGAAGCCTCATTCCTTGATAATGGAAATGGAAGTAGAGTTATCTTGACAAGTAGGCTCCATGATGTTGCTCCGCAAGATAAACTCCATCACGAAACACATTCTCTTCGGCAACTCACTCCTGATCAGAGTTGGGATTTGCTAAAAGCTAAGTTATACCCTGGAAAAGATTTAACTCCAAAATTGTGTGAACTTCAACAGCAAGTTGTGGAAATCTGTCAAGGGCTACCTCTTACAGTTGTCATTCTTGCTGGAATTCTCTCAAGCATGGACCGACGTGATTGGAAAGAAGTTGTGGAAGGTTTGAGTTTAAGAAATGTCTCTAGTATAGAACAATGTATCGCTACATTAGAGCTAAGTTACAAACATTTATCAGATAATTTGAAGGCATGTTTTCTTTATTTTGGACCTTTCCAGAAGACCATGAACACAAAACCAAGAGGTTGATTTCTCTCTAGATCACTGAAGGATTTGTTCAAAAAACTTAGCACAAGAGATCAGAGGATGTGGCAAATGATTACCTGATGCAACTTATTAGCAGAAACTTAGTCATAGTGTCCAAACCAGGATCCATTGATGGTCAAAGCTTGTCGCATTCACGATTTGTTGTATGAGTTTTGTGTGACAAGCCAAAGAAGAAAAGATTTTGCAGCTGGTATGGAGGCATGATGAACTATCTGATTTCAATATGCCATGCTACCTACGCCGCTTGTGCATCAATTCTAAGCTTGAGCACTTTGACAAGTTAAGATTATTTTCTCCAACCATACGCTGTCTCTTATTCTTCAGTCATGGTGTGGATCGTGAAAGAAGTTTCGATTTACGGCCCATTTTTCATATCATCAAACTTGTGAGAGTGTTAGATTTGCGCCAAATTCCTCTAGGCAGCACTTTTCCTAGAGAATTAGCATAGCTTGCTCACTTGCGGTACTTGGTAATTCTTGGAGATGGCAGGGCTGTCCCAGGAACAATATGCAAACTCTCAAATTTAGAAACTTTAATCTGGCGAAGAATTTCTGGGACAAGCCCAGCTCACTGCCATATGCTATATGGAACTTGAACAAACTAAGGCATTTACAGCTAGAGGATGAGTTGGGTAACAGTTATTACTTTAGATTCCCCGACAACAATCTTGACAATATTTGCAGTTGTATGAAATGGATTTCTTGTCCGGTATATACCTCAATCCTCAAGAAAACATCAACAAGCTGTTGGGAAAGTTTCCAAATATCCGCAAGCTAAGAAGCTCCCTTGATCTCGACGAGGGCTATAAATATCATGTAGCAATTGAGCGTCTGAGTCAATTGGAATCTCTCAATTTGAGCTACGACATATACCCTGATGGCCCATATCAGTTCAATATCCAATATCCTTCAGCCTCCTAACCCCCTACCACAGCCTCCTTATACTCCCCTTCCCCCCTTGATTAGGATAGAGTAGGTTATACAAATGTATCGTTGCTGATAAAAAAAATAAAATTTAGAAGGCCTTGCCTTTTTGTACCCTTTCTCTCAATTCAACAGGGACCACGTAGGAAGCATTAGTCATTGTTTAAGAGATAGTTTAGTTTTCTTTCTTTTTGGCTTTTTATGCGTGACTCTTGTTCTATAAATGTCCCAACTGGAGAAACATCCTTTACTTCTTGATTATTTAGTGAAAAACGTGATACCTTACGAATCAATTAAATTGCATGGGAATTTTCTCATAAGGCGTGGCTAGACTTTTCACCTAGTCAAGGATCAACGTGATGACGCAGTCCTGAATATCTGTGAGATCTAATTAGTTTTCACGCGTTCCTTAATTTGTTAATATTTGCACGTTGTCTACTTGAATTTCCATAGGATTATTTTGTTAATTGAATGTTAAGGGCTCGATGTTCAATGCGACTTATTAATCTCCTACCAAATTAGTCAATTAAATCCGTAATTGTTTAATTAATTAATATCAGTAGTAACTAGCGTTTCTACACACTAGGGAAACGTGCAATCTGATTTAAATAATCCTCGTAGCGTGTTATTGGTTGGGGTTAGGTTTCTCTAGTTCTTTATGCAATTGGGAAATTAATTCCTACGGTCATACCTAAGAGTATTTTCTGGTTAGGGGTAATCAATGGTCGTACCTTGACTATCAATAAATTAAGGAAAAATTGGTTGTCAGAGCCCCTCGGCGACTATAACTAACCTATTAATAAATTAAGTGAACCTCCCTTGTATCAATTGTGAGGACTTGCAAATTCCTTATATTTTTCTAAAAAATACCCTTTTATTTGGAAATTATTCATTTATTATAGCCCTACTACCCATTCATTCCACAATAAGTGCAAATGAACCTAGAAAGTAGGGTTTCACTTTTTGTTTTCAAGTTGGAGCAAGTTAGGGTTTTCACGTGTATCCGTAGTGTAATTATCCGGTACGGTGAGAGGATCAAATTTGGTGCTTAAGAGTGACTTTTAGGTGAGAAATAATATGTGATTAGAAGCAATGATAAAAAGTTAGTGAATAGGAAGTAAAAAACCCTAGTACGTGTGATTTAAGGAAAAACGGCGCGAACCGACGGGTACCGCGCACTACCGATTGAACGCACCACTTGACCACCACTTTCTTACCACATGAGCTCATTAATATTTGAGCAAAATATCTCCTTATTTCCAGCTAGCTTTGACCGAAATTTAAGGCTAAAAATGCAAGGAAAAGAAACAAAAAAATGAGTGGTGGTGGTGAAGCCACTTGTTGGCCACCTAAGGGCCATTGACCAAGATACTTATCTTACCTTCTTATCACTTGGAGCCATCTTTCTTCTTCATTTTTTCTGCTGCTTGGCCGAGAGAGAGATTGGAAAAAACACCAAGGGAAAGTTGCCCCATTTCTTCTTGAATCTAGCCACCAAGTGAGAAAGAAAGAAAACTAAACCGATTAAAGCTATCTTTGAGTGTTTATTTAGTGAGAGGTTGGTGAAATTTTGAAGGGGAAGCTAGGGTTGCTCTTGGTAACCACTTAAGCAAGGTAAGGATGATGATTTCCCCATTCCTTACTCTTGATCTTGTTTAAATTAGCTTAGCATCTCAAATTTGTGGTGAATGATGGTTGTTATCATGTTTTGGGTGTTTTTCCTTTTAGTTACTTGAATTAGGGTTTGATGGATTGCTGCCTATACTTGATGTATGGTTAATATATATTGTATCCAATATTATATAGGGGGTTTTGGTAGCAAATGAAGAAAGTTATCATTGAAACCAAAAAATTCTAGATTTCTGGCAAATATGACTTCAATTCTGTCTGGTTTTAGTGCTCCATGTTAGAGGCTGAATTAGGCTTGGTACAAAACATTAAAGTTGTATAGAATAATATTTTATAGTTTCCTACAAAATTTCAGCTCAATCGGAGCAATGTAGCCTGTGAAAAGACAAAATACCCTCGCTGACTTAGGATGTTTCCAATGAACCATTTTAGACAGATTTATCCAATTAACCGTGTTTATTCACTATGATCCGTGCTGATTTAGCCATTTTCCAAAACATGAAAGTTTTAGTACTCTATCTTATCTTTTCAACACCACCAAGAACACCTTAAACGGACTTTGGTAGCCTAAGATATGACCATTTCAATGTAGTATAGTCAATTAGCCGATTAGTTGGAATTCGGTTCTGTAAATTGGGAATTTCACTGGGTTACACTGGAAATTTGACTAAGTGATCTTCATGAAAGTTGTATGCCTTCGTCTTAGCTTCAAAACGGTATAAGTTGTACTTCAATCCGATAAGCATAGCCTCAGATGTGTTCCTTCCGCAAAAACCCATCAAATCTGTCTTTTGTTAAGTTCATTTCCGCACTTGTTATTAGTTTAAATTTTTATCCTTGTATTGTCTTGAGCCTATGGAACAGATATTGAAATGAATTTGTGTTGTATGTAACTTTGGGTTATTTGAGGAAATAATGAAGCCATAAATGGCTGGAAATAGGAAAATACAAAGGGCATGCTGCCCAAATTTTCGCTCAAGGGCTAGAGAAATACACTTGCAACTTAGGTAAAGTTGATATATGCATACCACTTGAACTATCTAGGACATTTGATACCTTGTTATCGAGGGTTATACATTAGAACCTAGCCGAACTTGTACCCTTAGGAAAAGCGGTACTAACCACTATAAATCCGTTTTCCTTGCACTTTCGACTTAAAAGTTATTTCCAAGCAAACATGTTACCAAATTTTTTAGTTTGAAAAGCGAGCAACTGTTTCGCGACTATTCACCAAGTGAATTTCAATTTCTTGATTCTTATTGAACGAAACGTTTAAGTTTCGAACCTTAGTCGATTTTCAAAGTTCTTAAATCAAGTTTTATCGCAGATTTGGACTCCAAACTCGGAGTACCCCCCCGGACGTGAAGACTAGAGGCACTACTTTTGGTGAGTGCTTCCAAATATCCGATTGCACTTAATACATGTGTTTCCTACTTGACCCACATGATTACATGATGAATGAATGATAGGGCAAGGGTGTACTTTACCGCACTTGTCCTAATATGACTTGTTCTTGTTTATTGATTACACTTGATTCGCTATGCATGTACATGAGTTATATCTTGCCTGGAATTCCAGAAACCCTGTGGCTAGTTAATCGAATCGAGCCGGCAAGGGTCTGGTTGACTAGATAATGAACCCTGGGTAACTAGTAATGTCAAGTGGAGTGTATCTCCTTGGCAAAACGGTATACTCGAGTATTACCACCCGTGTTTTATATGGCATACGGGCCCGGAAAAGGGGTTTGAGTGGTGGACAGAGACTGGTGTGAAATGGGGTTTTCTTTCTGGACTAGTTATTACTTGAAAGTTGACGGAGTGTCAACTACCAATCGATCAAGCTAGGATGGAGCCGAGACATGAGCCACTGTATCCTTACATGTGAACATGATCCATATATTTCTTGACTACTTGAAGTATTATCTCCTTGATTGGACTTGTTTGCTCGCTATTTCATTATCACACTGTTATTATTTTGTTTGATGGCCAATTTGATATTTGGAACTTCACTGAACTTTGGCTCACCCCGTTAGTTTTGTTTTCCTTACAGGGATACGAGTGAGGCGTGAGACGTGTAAAGACTAGCGTAGTCTAGTTGTTTTAACTTTTGACTTTTGACTTGTACTCGCGCTACTCGAATAGAATGTTTTGTATCTGGATTGTATACATTTTGAACCAGTTTGGGTATACTAAGGCTTTGTATCGTGAATTTACATCAATGTAAATTATAAGCCTGAATTGTGATATTATTTATGGTCCATGGATGTATGCACGTGATACGAGTGAATGAGTCCTGGCGAGAGTTGGGCAGGCGGTCCGCCAAACCCTTTGGTATGCCTTAGGGGGAGGTGGGGTCATCACATCAATGATCGGATGAATGGACTGTGTCTGAGTAGTTGTATCCTTGGCTAGAATTTTATCTATTCTTGATTTAATTCTTGTCTATATTCTTGCTAGTTAATTATTCGTTTTAGTTGAATTGCTTAATTATTTTTAGCTTTATTCCGATAAACCCCCTTTTTATCAATTGGAACCTCAAAGAAACAAATATCCCCAGTCCTTGAGGAGACGACCCTACTTGCCACTGTCTACTAGTTA